AATTCCAGGATATTTATTATATATTATAATATATATATAGTTTTCCAATTAATCTTTATTTATGTGGATTCACATGTATCATCACGATTATATCATTAATCTGCTGTTGATAACTTGTAATCTATTTCTATTTTCATTGCTGACAGTCTCCAGGTGTGAACCTGGTAGGTCATTAATCTTATCATATCTGTAAATAACAACTTCCCCATGGATATCACAATAACATATCTGGTTCTTATTGAGTATAATATAGATTTGATTTTGTCACATTATTTCAGTCCAGATTGCTTGTAATTGGCAAACTTTGAATATTCAAATGTATATATATAATACATATACATGCATTAGAGATGTATTGTGCATTTTTATAGCAGTAATGGCTTTCATTCACCCTTTCATATTCTTGTGGGGGGGGGGGGGGGTTAATATCAAGCATTCTGCATCTTAAAGTCACTCTGTTATATTTACATGTCTTGTCTTTTCATCACACTTGTGTCAACTATTCCCATCATGCAATGTAACTGTCCTAATTGGAGATCTAAACTCACTCAGTCAAACGACATATTTCCTTAATAGACTGATCCAATAACAAATATTTGATCCCCAGTAAAATGCAAGATAAAAATGTGCGATGTGCCCATGACTAAAATGTGACATATAGGCGATGTGGATGTTATAAATCTATGAACTGAAAGGTGAAAGCCAGTACTGTATACCAATACATACTCTGTTATGGTGACATCTTTCATTGTGTAAACCATTACAAACTCAATCTTGTCTCAGAAAATATCATTAAAAATCAATTTTCACTGTTTTGCGTTAATATCATTTCCTCACACAACTTATAATTGTCATTCAACAGAGAAAGTTACAGTCCAACAACCAACTAAGCGAAGTAAATATGCAATGACCTTTGACCTTCATGAGCTACGAAGTATTAAACGTTCTAAGCCATCACTGGGATGGTCCTATCTGTTGTTTGTCTTAAAAGATGGTGTGACGTTACCAGCATTACATTTTCATGAGGGAGGTAGTAAAGATATGATGAGATATATAGAAAGATATGTATCTATTACAAAGTAAGTAAAATTGGAAAAATACTAGTGTTTATGTAACGTTACCAGCATTACATTTTCATGACTGATGTAGTAAAGATAAAGGCTCTGTTGTGGGGTCCAGCTGCGAATATACCCTGGTGTCAATCACTCTCAATTAACCACCCTCAACTACTTTAGTATAGATCTGGTTTATTTTAAAATGTGGTGAAACTACAAAATGGAAAGTGTAGAAAGTACACTGTCAATAAACATGGCAGCCTGCATACATTTGTACAGCAAATAAATTGAAAATGATGGTAACTGTGATATAAATTCAAGAATAACCAGATCCAGAGACAGTTTAAAAAAAAAAAAATAAATTAAACCGATTCTACAATATGTTATGATTAAATGTGCCATGATTAAATGTGCCCTGACCCCTGGCCCCTTGCCCTTAACTAAAACAAAAGAAACTGAGGGTGCTATATCAATTCTAGAGAAACTAGTGTACAGCACTAGTTCAAAATTCACAGAGAAATAAAAGCAATGCCCTTCTAAATGCCTTTCAACATTTTCTTCAAAATTTCAATCACTTCATGGCATTTTTAGAAATTTTGGTCTTGAAATAGAATGCCCTGAAAATACCAAAGTTCAAGTCCTGAAAGATATGTATCTATTATAATGTACACACAAGATCAAATGTTGTGTCTTTGAACTTCAAGATGGATGTATTCTTTGTTTATAAACATAATCGTTGTTGTGTGATTCTGGCTAATATTACTGCAACAACATGATACAATGGGAATGCAATTGGCCAAGATTCATTCACTAACTTATGTGACTTTGGAGGAACTGTAGTGAAGTGGCAGGTGATAGTAATGCAAGAATAGTGCATTCAATTGTCAAAACATCAATATGATATAAAAATGGTCATACATGTACTGTACATGTTGCCCTGAACATGGAATAAGATTTCTGTGGCAAAATACACTATGTATTGTATTGTCAAGGTTTATACTTGCATAAAAAGTAAATATATTCATTTAATTTTCAGATCTACTGATGATCCAAGATTATTTATTGTCACACAGCATGACAGTAATGCATTGTCTAAATCCATCAATGAACTCCATATATTTGGAGAGTCGTCAGCTGGATATGTATCTGTAAGTTTATTTATATGCTGCCATAGAGGGCACTGTCTGTAACTTTTCCTTCATAATGGACACATAACATATGATACACAATGTAGTACATGATGCCTCTATTATTTTCCCCAGCATTAGTTTTTTTTAATGTTTATGTGGAATTTTGTTCATGTGGAGACAATAAAACATCTTAAAGCTTACATCAATTTGAATAACAGAGAAATTAAGCCTCTCTTACTGGGAATTTTCTCCAAAGTTTGCACTTTTAGCTGCACCAGACAAGATTATTTGTAGTGGATAAATTATAACAATGATTTGGCATACATCGAGGTGCCTATGCATCTATACTAACACGAAAACAAGACCCGAGTTCATCAAATCAAAGAATGACAACTTATTTTTCTATATCACACTGAATCTTCAACACTTTTTAAAGATAGTTATGTGTGTTTTTTTTGTAAAAAACTTTTTATTATATTTAAAAAAGAATTTACCAACTAGAACAGTATTAACATTCATTTAGTCTCATAAATTAGATTGATTCTGTCCAAGAATTTGCAATGGTAATTTGTTGATACAGTATTCAGAAACTATCATACAAATCGACATGTAAGAAATTCATCTTCAGTGTAATCAATTAACCCAGTGGCACGTGATTTGACCTTTTTTTTTTCAAAACTCTCTTCTTAAATATTGGTACCAATCAATTAAAAAATAATAAATATAATCCGAATTTTGAATAATTGAGGGTTCTGCTGTAGTATTTTACAAACTATATCTGTTTAACAATAACAATTTGTCAGTCAATATTTAATAAAGTCTACTTTATTTGTATCTTCACATAACATCCCACAATATTCTTATGTTTTCATTTTGTAGAAATTTATCAAAGATCCCTATTCTGCTACCATGGGAGGTTTTTCTAAAGTTACAAACTTTTTAAAGGACTCCCTGTTAATGCCAGCAGCACAACAACGACCGGTAGATGAGATAGCAGAGTTGATGACTGACCTGCCTAGAGTTGATATCAACCGACAAAAGGAACCAGGATATGAACTTATAACCAGGGTAAATATTCCTATAATGGTCGTCATACTGTACATGTGAGACACTGTGTTAATAAACATTGATTTCCCACAATTCAATGCACTCTTCTAAGGGATGACATGAGTATGAGTTTTGACATGGGCGCTGCATGCACTACTGTAAGACCTATATTAGTAGCCGCATTCCCTAATTGAAGTCTCACCCAATCTTTTTGAATAATATAGAACCAAAAATGTAGATGCTCTAATAGAAACCACATCTCCTCAATTTCAATGCAAGCCGCTGTTTCTAATTCAGATTTTATAGTATTTACCACCAGTGACCCTTTCTATATCTTCAAATCACCAAAGAAATTACCTATTTAAAGCTTGTGATTGTTTGTGTTTGTTTGTCTGTGTAACAGTCAATGTCCCCCCTAATTTTTCATAAGAGATCAGTGTGTGGCACGATGACCAGCCCTTTAATAAGAGTACATGTATTATACATTTTTGTACACCATTAACTAATGTGAACAAGAATATGGATTCCTAGCCAGTATCATCCACTTACACACTTGTACTGGTTCTATAAGAGTTGACATTTATTTTATAAGGCAATGACTATCTTAGAGTTTTTATAAACTTTAGTAAGTAATTTTTTCAGAATATACAGTTTGTTCAAAATATTAGGATACATATTAGCATAAAATGAAATGTTGTTTTAGTAACAAACATTAAATGAATTAAAGAAAAGTTATTACTACTAATCTGTGCAGGTACTCCAGGGTGTGCACATACTAATAATGATATTATTATTTCATTAAACAAATAATGATGTTTGTGGCTAATACAATACTTTTATTTCCCGATAAATTGACTTCATTGTAGTTATTAAAATAATGCCTGTAAGCCTGAGTACATGATAAATGATAAGCAATTTCAATAAAGTTGGAAATATATTTTGCTTTTCATATATGAGTTCTGTCTTGATGTGATTCAAGCATGTTGTATTATTCTTTGCTATCAGAGTGAACTTGGTCCTCGACATGATGTTAAAAGACAAGATCCAGTAATTCCTGAAGAGTGGCAGACTCATCTTGATAGTGATGGCCGGGTAATGAGAAAAGATTTACTAATAGAGAAAATATATCATGGGGTATGTATTTGAAACAAATTGACACTGTTCAGTTTCTGTTATCTGTTAGGAGGACACATTTGTATATCACATGCACACACAAAGATGGTGTTTACTGCTGCTGCAATTTATTATACTAGTACATGTATGCTTTTTCTTAAACTGAAGTTATGAATCATACATGCGTTCTAGCAGAACACTAATATGACATCCAAGTACAATGTGTGCTATTATTAGCGGCTTCCAAACACCTTGGTCAAGTATCCCAGTAGCTTTATCATTCCTTGAGGGGAACCTCTCTCTGATTTCTTCATTCCTTGAGGGGAACCTCTCTCTGATTTCTTCATTCCTTGAGGGGAACCTCTCTCTGATTTCTTCATTCCTTGAGGGGAACCTCTCTCTGATTTCTTCATTCCTTGAGGGGAACCTCTCTCTGATTTCTTCATTCCTTGAGGGGAACCTCTCTCTGATTTCTTCATT